CTGATGCCACCCATTAGGCTCAAAGAGCCAAATGCCAAAGCAATGGGTCATCAGACTTACTGACAGAAGTGCTACCACAGTTTGAGGCTGGTCCACAGACCGCAGTGTTACATAGGAGACAAACTCACCAGAGCCATGTGGGCTGCGAGGTTCCCACCCAAGGCTGCGAAGGTGTAGTAGACCAGAGCCTGAAATACAAGCAGTTACCAGGCAAGACTGACATTCATGACGTTTATGGCATCTACGAAGCTGGAAAGGTCATCATACCTTTGACTGGCTGGAGTTGACCCCTAGACCAGCAGCATACATAAACCCAAGAGCCTAAAGGAGTGAATGAAATGGAGGAAGACCAGGAAAGTTCATGAAAGTAGCCAAAAATATAACAACTGAGGTGCATTTTGGACTAGTAGGGCTGCAAAATTCTGGGAATTGTCCTGTTAATTCCTATATATTCCCATTAATTTCCATGGAAAGCTTCCCCAGCATAACTTCCCATGGAATCGAATGTTTCTGGAAAGTTTCCAGAAATTTTCTGCCCCTTTGCAACCCTAGTCCTAAGTGGGTCTAGCAAACTAGTCAACTATCTAACTACCCAGAGAAAACAGTAAACATTAAGCAGCAGTTATAAAGCGCAGCATACCATTTGGGCTTTGGGGGAACCCTCCAGGACCAGCTTCTCAAACATGACCTTTGCCTGCGAGATGTTCTGCACCAAGTATTCCCCAAGCAACATGGTGGAGGCCACCTTCTCTGTGGCCTTGGTGTGGCCCATGTGGGCCGCCTTCACCAACATCTCATACCCTCTAGAGAGGAAAGAGCTAAATCAGTATCCATTTTAAAAAGTTTGCCTTTGAATACTACTGATTTCTCACGCTGTCAAATTGCTAAATTTTACCCCAACCCCAAGTAAACTACAGTTACGTGCACTGCGATCCTAGTTAAACTTAAATCTTTGATAGCTGAATGGGAATCAAACACAGAGCGTAACGGCAGGAGGTTCAGCAATTTAGAAACGGCATGCTCTAATTAGCCACAGCACAGCATGAGAGGCTTTGAGGTCTAAACACTAACAGTATCAAATGATATCGTGACAGTAAACTTGACTGCACACACAGAAATGCCCCCCAAAAACATGCCAAGGTAGATGCTGCATGCTTATCAGACAGAGGAGGCTACCCGGCAAGGCATTCACACCCCCGTGAGGGGCAGCCTGCACAGGCCTGAGGTCAGAGGTCATAGGTCATAGGCCACGCACTCCTTCCCCTGGCTGCTCCTGTCGATGATCCTCAGGGCCTCCTGGTAGACCTCTTCTGCCTCCGCCACCCGGAGTCGCTGCTCTGCCTGCTCCTGGGCTGTGGGCAAACAGGGCACTCGGTAAGCATGCCTGCAGCACAGAATCACCAAGGTAACGCCTCATCTCCATCAGCAAGGCCGTGTAACCGCATGAAAGGGCAGGCAGCTAATGTCACAACGAAGCAGTAACTGGATTTACAACAGAACATTCATATCTAATATATGCAACTGAAAAAACCTTCAAAAAAAGGTGGCAATGTAATGCATGGTAGTTGGTTCGAGTCCCAGCCTCCTCCAATTTCTTATGAACAGTATGCGGCTAAAACTTTCTTCAGGAGTTATCGCCTTTGCCTCGATACTTCGGCGCAGAGATCGGAAGTCGTACTTTCACAAAAGCCCCATTTCCTGTCGTGGTCATAGTCGTAGGTGGTAGCACACCAGAGCCGCCCGTCGCTACGGCCATCGGCAGTGCAGTCAGAGTACTCCCTCCCCAAAAACAGGAAGGGGAACTGGCAGGGGTCGCCATCACCAGTACCCCCCAACGTCACAGGAACTTGAACAAGCAGCAACACAAGGGACATACATTGTATCACAACGTTCACAACAAGCGAGGGGGGGGGGGGGCTTCTTAGAAAGTTTGGCCCATTTCTACAGACATTATACATTATTAATAATTTTATTATCTGGATATCTAAGAATATTTTAAGCCTACCAGATTACATCATATCTTGAGATATTAAGCTGCTAATTCTAGACACTCATATTTACTTTGCAAAGCATTATATGCACTCAGTAGTGAAACTCTACATCTGAATGGTTTGTGTATAATATGAGCAGCAGGTGTTCAGGAAGTTAAACCAAAACCATGTAACCATGTTAGACAGAGAAATAATACTCAGCTACTTAACTGCTTGGGTGATCAAAATGATCCATTTCAAATGTACCTTCACGGAACATACACTTGTATGTAGCAAAATAGTGGGGGTCAAATTGATTTAATGTAACCTGTCTGATGATTAAATAGCAGAAATGGTGTAAACAACAATGATAAAAGAGCATAGCACTTCACCAGAAAAATGTGAGCTCTCACTGTACAGGTCCTAGAGCCCGTTGAGGACACTCACCCTGTTCTCCTGGGACATGACGGGGGGGCAGGTCCCTCGCACCCGAGTGAGAAGGCGTCTCACCGTGGGCCTCAGAGCTCCGAGGGGAAACTGACGATCCAGCCACGATCGCCGCTGCCGCTAACAGGTCATTCTGCTTTTTGTTCTGAATCGAAAAGGCCAACGAAAAACCACAAGAAAAGAGCACAAGCAGAAAATAATACAGCTTAAGTTTCTGCAACAATATACGGCCTCAGAAAAAGGCACGTTGAGCATATATCACAAATCAAATGGTATCTGGGTCATCTGTGACTTCTCCTGGAATTTGCTGATCTGTCCACTCCAATTCTGGGTTTGGTGTCAGTGCTCTAACAGGACCATAATTGCTACTTTTTGGCTAAATATGTACACAGGCACACAGAAGAACCATATTTTATATACATTTCCAACCAAGAACTTCAAACAAGAACTGAGAACAGTACTGTTCTCCGTTTTTGAATACTTGGTTTCCTACACAAGATTTTATGAATTGTTCTGCTCTTAGCAATATGTGATAAAGCCGGTCAAAAAGAGAGCGAAAACTAATCTGCAGACCCGCCAGTTGTGGGTTAACATTAAAGCGCCTACGTTGAAGATTCAGTGTCACTCAGAAAACAACGCAGCAAAATGAGTAATATAAATACAGCTCTTAGTATGCTACGTATAGCATAAGCATTTTAAATATTTCTCTGTCGCCGGGCAAACTGACATTACCTCTGTTTCAGGGGCATCACTCAGATCTGCAAAAACAAAATGACCCGTACTACTTTTGATCAAGTAAAAAAATGCAACCACACGTGGTAAAAATCAATACCCGATTATCTTGCCGATAGTAGTCTGTCAGAATTAAGACATTGTTCAAAATAGTAAGAGAATATCTGTCTCGTTTATAATTGTATTTAGCCATAATATATATTAGTATTTTTTACCAGCTGTAGTTACATGTTGGCTAGTTATTACTCACCAGCTGTTACTCCATGTGACACAGCAAACAGCAGTACGAATAAAACTGCCGTATTCATGACCTTTTGCATTAAAGCTTGCAGATAAGCAACCATGTTTTAACGGAATGAAGACTTCACAGTAAACGATGTTTGACTAGGCAAACTTTGAACTTTAGATTCAATATTCACTGACAATATGCAATACACATGCCACTGTCTCCGCACTCTCCATAAAGATAAGTCGGTTTCAAGGCGTTTTATTATTTACAAACTTATATTAAATTTTTGATAGCTGCGCTGACATTGTTTATTACCCGAGAAACAATTCGTTGCTTTACCATTCAAACCGCCTGACACAAATGCAGCGTAGATGTTAGAGTTTGACCAATCATCGTTCCCCCGCCCCCTATAATAGATTATCCTATCATTATGCCCGACGAATGACATTATCCAATAGAAACGTCACACACCAAAGTCCCTGTCCCTGGGTGGTGATGGGATTGAGCAAAATTAACAAATACAAGTCACTTCGCTATTTGTCATGCTCCTGCACGTGGACCAATAACCTCTGCCTTTGCAATATTTTTTAATTTTATAGATACAATCAATAACAAATCGGTTACAAAAACGTTTTTCACAAACGATGAAATATTTGTTGAAAAACTCAGTCATCGATTTTGCTACAAACTGAGATTAAAACTATTACTTAAGTTTTTCTACTGGTGGCCGTTCATTCAGTCAATTACAATTCATGAAACTGTTGGTGACATCCTAAATGAACTAAGCAAGAAATTACTTCATTTCACATATTTTTATGTCCTGTCAGTAGTTCCTAAATTCGGGGTTTACTCAGTGCTTGAATGCTGCTGAATAATTTCTGAACATCATTTGTCCGAATTTTTTTTCCTGAGGTGCTGATAAAACATTAAAGCGTACGTCACTTCGGATCTTAGTCACGGAACGTAAATTATGATAATTAAATATGATCACGATTACCTGATAGTTCAGTGTCCTTGAATAATTAAATAACGGAATCCCTGATTTATCTTAATTAAGTTAAATGGGTCTTTTACGATAGTTTGAGGTCCACAAACCAATGTAAATTAAGGTAACGCATTTACCTTTCCTATTCACGAAGGTGTAACGATGATGTTCTTCATGAAAAAGCTGTGTAATGTTATTTAGTATATATGCACAATCAGGGGAGTTTCTAGCTATTGAAAATACCAGGAGCCAAGTCAAGTTTACCTGGGGCTTGACATTTCTTTTTTGAAGGAAGGTTGTCATCGGGGCTAAAATACTTGGGACTAGGCTTAAAGTTCACGGAGCTATATCCCCGAGTGATCGGACCTAACGACGCCCATGTGTGCACAATATATGCATCATGTTTTCATAAATGTCCAATGAAACGTCATTGAGCATCTTTGGTATAACAAGCGTTCATAAATCGACATCCACAAAAAACATTTTGAAAGGCATTTGTTTCTAGCGGTATTTTTGTCGTTGAAATATCCAGGAAACGGTGTAATATGACTTTTCCAAAAACTTTTCGAGATATTTCGATGACAATTTTTGATGAAATCAATGAAAGCGTCCTGCGGTGCATTTACTTACCAGTCCGTGGTACTTCCTGTGAAAGATAAACAAATGGAGCTGAACACAAGGACCCGTCAAAATCTTCAGAAATGTAACCACACACCGGGATTTCAAATTCAAGATGCCTGGACAGAAAAGAAAATACAATGTTCGCTTTCCACCCGTAAGTTAATCTGTATGTATCTCTTAAGGTGGATGTCTGATTTAGACTTTTCGGATCCCTACTAGCGTGGGTTCATGACATGGCGTGTCTTAGGAACTTCTAACACCTGATTTCTCCCGACATCCGCATCCCTTCGCTCAAAAACCTCACGTCTTCATCGCTTCTTGGAAAGGGTCGCATCAAGAAGATCATGCAGAAGGACACGGAAGTGGGAAGGATTGCAACGGCTGTTCCAGTTATTATTTGTATCCTCTACGATGTGACGACGCGCGCTTTCATCAATTTCCTCAGATGAATGGCACCGCATGTAATATGAAATGACTGTACCTGGGTATGGTTTTTACCTTAGCTTTTGCAATCAGCCAGAGCCCTAGAGATGTTCTTAAAGTCTCTCTTGAACAAGACTAATCAGATCACCCAGTCAAAACACAGCAGGATCATGACTATAGCCCATATGTAAGTTTTTGCATGGATGAAATGCCTGTTCTCTCACTTCACATTTATAATAGATACTATAATCGTCCTGTATGTATTCACTTGAATACATAAGTGTCCTTAAGTGAGAAATAATTTACCATATTGTATTATAAAGCAGATTTTTCATTTCTGTGGGTGGTGGGGTTGATGTCATTCATAGGAAGCAGTGTATTGACACAGAGAAGCTCTTTGACTTCCTGAAGGACCTGGCTGAAGAGTTCACAGTGCCGGCTTCCCAGAGGGACAGTCGAGCCAAGGGGAAGTGGCCAGCTCAAAAGTGGAGAGCCTCCAGTCCGCCCATTTCAGGAGGCAAGGGGAGACAGAGGAAAGTTGCTCTGCGGTTGTGGCTCCTACTAGAACTTCCACAGTCAAACAATCTGGTAACTTGTGGGCCTGTAATAAAAATTGAGTTGTTTCATCGTGTCTCTTCTAGGAAGAAATGGAAGGACGTCCCAATCAAACCAAAGCTGCAGAAGCATGTACAATGATACGTAGAACACGGAAAATTTGTGGGTAATTGTTGTATCGCATAAACGGATAGAGGTATTCTGACTTGGCTTAAATGTGGTTAAGGAATATTATTTGGCACTTCACCTTGCCACGTCATTTTCATTATTTGATGACTCGCCCAGAGCTGCACACCTTATTTGGAGACATAAAAGGTAAGCAGACTTTTCTTGGCTAGATTGACAAAAATGAGGTGTGTTAATCCCATAAGGTGGTCAGAGTAGTCAACAAAATGGCACCTTTTTAACCCCTAATCTGACTGAGCAGTAGTGTGTGTGTGTGTGTGTGTGTGTGTGTATTTTTTTTTGTTTTTAAGAGGATTCATCTGGCATGATGTACAGGTGTTGTCTTCTGCTGCTGTGGATGTTATGCGTCACACCTATGAACTCTGTCAGCAAGGTGGTCGTGGGAACCTATTAAGCACCTCTTGTTAATATGAATGTGTTGTACCATTTGGTTCGCATCGAATTTTAAATATTCTAATTTTTATTGGTGTCAGTGTGACACAGTATAATTATTCATGAAGTTACATGTATTTTTTTCTTTACATATAAAACTGTCAGAGAATAATCATTTGTATAGATCCCCCAAGATAATTTACTTGTAAAATTTATTTTGTATTTTTTCATTAAGAAGGGGATATATTGGCTCAGACATTACTTTGGATATATATTTTTTTGAGTTCATTCTAGAGGGGATGTTAACTTTCTGTTTTTGTGTATGTATATAGTATTGTGGTTGAGGGTTCGATGTATACCTCTTCTGGGGAAAAAAAACTGCCAATTAATTATCAACTAAGCTCTCGATGCGTGGTTTTCAATGGTGCATCAGTTATAATTCAAACATCCCATCCAGTATTGGGTGCTCCACCCTGTGCTATAACCACAGAAACATTCTTTGTATGCTTTATGGAGATTTGCTGATTGTTGCGGAATTCTTGTTGTGGTACCTGTTCCGTGTTTATGGATTCTGGAAAAACATGACAAAGGAGCATTCTTCTTTGCACTTTCTGTATGTTTATATATATATATATATATATATATATATATATATATATAGAGAAAGAGATATATAATCCCTTTGATGTTGTATATTTTTACTGATGTACATTTTAAATTTAGAGCAGTGTTTGATGTGTTGGTTAATTTAACCTTTTGGTATAAACTTCGGCCCAAATACAGCAGGTATTTTATAGATATCAGTTCAGTGTACATTAGTCATACTTTAGTCTTTTCCGCTGTGTGATATTTTAGGTCTACTCCTTTCATGTGCACTGTATCCCAGCAAAATGTTAATTGTAAATAGATGGTTCTTTAAGTCATCATACAATGTTACAGAAAATGGATGCATTTTATAATCATGAAATCCATTACAATAAATGCAAAAGGAAAAAACAGGGAGAATAACGTTTATTGTTTGGCCACCAAAGGAAATCTCATTGCACAACGTGACAAACGGAAAGTAAAGTATGAAATGAAACTGCAGGCTGTGCTGTTGCCATACGGACCTGAAGGCTACCGCTCTGGTAGCAGCTCCTAATTAAAGCAGAGCCCAATGCACTATGCTTCCGTTACTCAAGTTCCCTGCACCCACGACAGATCAGTCAGATCTGAGCTGCAACTGAGTCTAATGTACTTCAGTTCTTTACAGACCATTTTCATCGCTACTCATACTGACCTGCAGTAACCGATACAAATCCGATTTGCATTATTAAAACTAAACAAAATACAGTACCAAAAAATATGTGCGTCCACAGAAACAAAGACTGAATGCCCAGTTAGGATTGTTTCAGTAATCAAGTTGATAGTTGACAGTACTTACAGGAACATGTGCATGAAATCTCATTTAAAAACAACAGTTCAGTAAAATAATGTATTAACAAGTACAAGTAAACAGAGAGGATGCAAGTCTATTCTTTAACACTTTCAAAAGACTACTCTAATCAAAAGAACAATACAATCCCTAGTGGTTCACGGTTTCATATTCCATTTCATGCCTGTCACCAAAACGCAGAACTGTCTGGAGCCGCTGTACGCATGTGAGGATTCAATCTTCAGTCCACAAGAGCACAGTCCACTCACGCTGGTTCTGCAGCAGTTCTAACAGAAAAGACTGTGCTAAAAACGAAAGCATTTATGCACACACGTTACGAGCAAAAAAACACTCCTTTCTCCTGATTTTTTTCCCCCCAAGTTCCAAGGTCACATGAGGAGGAAATGACATGATACAGTGCGTCTTCAGTAGAGCCGTGATCCGTAACCAAAAGTTTGTTTGATGCCCTCAAAATAGTACTGCTGCCACCCGTGTCTCGTCCTCTCCTCCTCGTTGACCGGGACCCCTCGCAACTCCACCGCCAACTCTGTCTCATTGCCGTGGTCCAACAGGTTCATGGTTACTGTCGCATAATGTTCTAGGGTTAAGCAGAGGAGGTGGGCTTAATGAGCATTTGAATCATGCAAGTCATCAATAAAGTGCATTACTCATGCACTACTGCTAGACAGTAAGTGGCATGGCATTTAAGGATGCATACAAGAAACGTGCCCAAGGTGAGGCACTTCTACTGTACTGCCAAGCCAGGTATGTGCCCAAATGTCCAGCTTTTTAAAATCACCATTAATTAAGGTAACAGTAATCAGTAATAACTGCAGAGATGCTTCCTGGAGAGTAATGGCTTCTCAAGATAACAGCTAAATTAACCCTTGACCTACCACAGGGCCAGGTGTTGTATCGCCATTTCATGACTATTTTTTGTTCTGGAACCTGAGAGAAAAACGGGGAAAAAAAAGAAAGCAATTTTATTTGAAAGTTGGGACTTCTTTCACCATGAATGAGGAATGAGAGCGAAAGCGTGTACATCCAACACGGCACGCTCACCAGCTCCTGGAACTCCCCCAGGACATTGCCGTCCAGCAAGCGGAACTTGCCCCCCTTCTCTCCGTCCACCACCGCAGTCGCGTGCGTGAAGGCCTGCACCAACTGAATAACAAGCTTTGTTTGTTAAAGGTACAACTTCACACCAGTAGTTAAAGCACAAGACAGCGTCCCAGTATTAAATATAAGGAAGAGTGTGAAATATAAAGCAGGCCATATAAACTTCTGCTGTTCCTACACAGAGAATAAAATGCAACCCTAAGCCTTTTTCCACAGGACTGCCTTTACACTTCCATCTTGTTCTGCATGATTTGCCTGAAGGATTGGACTCCAGTCTTCTGGGTAAATGGAATAATAAAAAAAAAACTCGATCTATTCATTCATATTATGCTCCTGCCTGCTACTGAGTAGGTCTTAAAGCAGGTTTAAAAAGAAATACCATATAGGTCATTAAATCCCCAAAACGTTTTTTAAACAAAATAATTTGCATGTGGCCACAGTGTAAACCAGTAATGGGAAGATCACTTTACAGCACTATCCTGGCAGTGGTACTTACCTCCTGCTTGATGAAGACTCTATAGAGCTCCTCCGCCGAGGTAAGGAAGGTGTCCTTCAGGCTGACCTTGCAGGTAGGGATCTTCACTCCAGTACTGGAAGCAGCAGCTGAACTCACAAATCCTATCTGTGACAAGGATTTTAAGATGTGGGAAACTATTGTAAAACCTGCCACTAGTGACATTTTGTGAAACAGAGGGTGATACAAAGTCCTTTGAAGTTTAAGTACATAAGGGAATACAATCTACTGAAATTTCTCAGAGCGCAAAGCATCCCACAGTGAACCAGTGTATTTACCATAGCAAATACATCACTGTATTTGCTATGATGCAATGAAACAGGCCTTCATCTATTCTCATGGAAACAGCTTCTGTGAATATGGGCACACACTTTTGGAAAATAAGTATGAGGGTCTATCTCCAATCTGAATGCACAGTTTTGTTACTATGGAAACAGCACAACTGGCATGAAAAACTTGCAGCCAATTCTTGAGCAGATGTTGACATCTCAGAGTTTCAGACTGTCATTAGGTAATTTGCAGGATGTTCTTACCATAAGACCATGACTAAAGTACCATGAGATAAGGGTCAAACCTAACTACTCTGGGCCTTATGCAAACTTCTGCTAGGGTCCTAGAGTGAATTTGGAGGGGCCGTTCCTTCATCCTGGCTCTAGACTTCATTGTCACTGGTAACCTGACCCACCTGGGTCTTGTCCACTTTAACTTGAGCCTGTGACTGCGCCTGTTTGTTCACACCATTGGCCGTAGGCAAGATCATGCCTTGAGTGAACTCTGGAACGACACAAAGCTATCAGGTTACTATTAGTATTTAACACAAGAACCTACCCAGCCCCGGAAACAAAGTTTGGCCGAGTCTGACAACATGCATGGGGTCACCTGTCTTCAAATAATCCACGTAGCTCCCGAGTGCAGCTCGGATTTTAGCAGCTCCTTCCATTTTCATGAGGACTGGGAGAGGTGCGTCTGGGTCACCTTTAGTCACAGTGACCATTATCTGTCAGAAAAACAAGAATTACATTTGTGAGGTTTCATATAATTCCACCTCACACCAATACCTCCACTTCCAGGTTAGCTTCCAGCATCAATAAATTTCCTATGATGCACAACATTTTCCATCCATGATGCATGAGAATTAAAACCTACGTCCAGGTCTTCCATGTTATTTTCATCGGAGAGGTTCGGAACCTCTATGATCCCTTTGTATTTGGCTCCAGTGTTAGAAACCCCTGCCAAAAAGCAGACAGAAAGAAAACTCTTGTGATGTATGTGTACAATCACTGACAGCACCCTCACTGAATCCAGAGACACTGTCAGGCAGAACTTACGACACAATCATATAATCTCCTTGGAATCCAGTGGACCAGAGAACAAACATGGTTTCTTTGACCTCTGTCACTGACTATAGCCTTAGAGTACTCCATAGTACTCCTATAAAAAGCAAGATTTACAAAAAAATTACAGAATTATTGTATGCAACCTCTCTAAATCACAAAAATCATACAACCAGACACAAATGTGGCTTCTTCAAATGACAAATCAGTTACACCAACACTTCGAATTGTGATGTTCCAATAGTCACTGATAATCAATTTGACCTATACAACTTTTCAAGGTATTGACCATTTGCACAGCATCCATAGATGCACTCTCTAGCTCCGCAACCCTGAGAGTTATTCTATTATTGTGTGTGATATTGTGTGGATTTGTTTGTATTTGAGCAACTGGATGCCTAGATTTCCTAAGGGATCAATAAACTTTCTATCTTTCTATCTATCTTTCTATCTATCCTCTGCCAGCTTTTGCCAAGCACACCGCCTCACCTTTCCAGGTTGCCTGGACGTCCCACTCGTAGAAGAAGATGAGCTTGCCCTTGCGGTTATTGATGGAGGCCTCACCCTCAACCTTGCTAACTTCCGTGACTCCACAGCTTCCCTCCTCGCTCTCTACACGCACACCAGAGAGCAGCTCCTTCAGCTTGTCCGATGACCAGTTTGTCACATCCCGCTCCGTCCTTCAGGGGCAGAACACGAATGCACGAGATTATGTAAACCACATATGCAGAAGAATGGACATAATATGGGCAGTCAGACATCAGTGATATTACTGTTATACTTAAATTGTGCTGTTATACTTGACCATAATGCTCCGTAAACCCAGGAATAAATAAACATCAAAACATTCCTGCATAACAGTCATTTTTATAGTAAAATATTAACCATAAAGTTTCGTGAGAGGTGTTCTACAAAGCATGTGGCAGAGTACAGATCAACATAACCACACATATTTAATAAGAGAAAACAGGAGAAAAAATATATTATTTAAAGAGAATTCAATATTTATTAAAACAGAAAGGAGGAGCAGATATGAGGGAGCTTTTCCATGGTGGACGATTTCCTGTAGAACCCTGGCAGTAAGGTATCATCATCGCGTGTCAAACACTGACTTCATCCCAAAAGTGTGGCTGTTATTGCACACATCCGAGACACTGTGTATGGTGCAGAGCAAGTATATCTACGCCGTTACACAACGACAGCTGCAGTCGCCTCCGCGCCCGAACCCGGTGCTCCCTCACCAGTGCCAGTTGTTAACGTTAGTCGCGTCGGCTCTCTCCTCTACGATCCACCGAGGGTCTCCTTCTCCCCATTTGGCCATGGTCTTTTAAAAGGGAAGCAAAATGATCGGGACCGGCTATACAGCCAAACGGCTCTCCAGAAATATCCACAATTGAAATCAGTGCAGTAATCGGATAATTAAATTCTGGAGCTAGACACTGCGTGACAACACAGCATCTGTAGAGCAGCCGGCAAAAAACCCGTCGTTTTCTAGAATGCTCCCGGTAGTGCTTCTAGCTCTCCGTAGAAATTACTGGAAGCGGAACTACGTCACCCAAACATTGCCCTCAGACATCTCCTCCCGACAGTTCGCACGAGACATCACATCATCCGTTCCAGTGGATCCATGGAAAGTACCTTAAAATAAATTATAATAAACTATTAACTAAATACATACGTTGTTTAGTACTATAATCTTAACACAGAAGTTCTGTATCTGGATAAATTGTCACCTCACCCAGGGTATCACTGCCTTGTGCCCGTTTAGAAAGCGGTTGAATGGATGGATAGATTGAAGTACTGTATTTAAATGTAATATATACTACATCTCCCAATAACCTTATGCGCACGTATCACGCATAGCCCGACGAGTTTACGGAAAACAAGGAAGCGATTGTGGCGTACTCGGGATATGTAGTTTAACTTTAGTGAACTACCGTTGTGTTTGACGATTGGTTGATTAAAGAATACTACATCTCCCAACGTAGACACAATGGTTGTGTAGGCTTAAGCCGATTGTCAGTGACGGGTGTGTTTCAAGGTAAAAAACCGTTTTCCAATTAAATAAAGATATATACGACAGAAATTTGTGTATTGTGGTTATGCACAGTGAAAATACTTTCAGTAGAATGCTGTTGTTTAGATGTTTTCATAGTGGTAATAAAACGGCATTTCCTAGCTTGTTAGAAATGTGGAGACATTCGTACCATTGTAAACAATCATTTTGACAGAACATTGACATGTCTCCCATTTGCTCTGTAACAGTTTTTTTGGTTTCTTCCTATAAAATGCTTTGATAGATTGTGGGTTGTAGTATCATGCCCCGATTTAAGCCATAAAAGTAGACGTTTAAATACGCATTTCCGCAATTTGGTTGTTCGCTTGTTACTATATGTAATAAGAAATGGAGATTCCACAACACTATTAAAAAGGTTTCGTAAGCAGCATAGGTGCATAACCTTCATGCATTATTCAATATTTGATTTAATCAAAGAAGCTGCATTCAATAATAATAATTAATAATAATAATAAAAAACGGTTGCAACCTTTTGATTATTACTAAATAGCTAGGTCGTTAGAGGACAGGAGAGGACAAACTGACAATCACTAAAATTGTTTGCTTCATCGACCATGGTATGTAGGTGCCTTTATTGTATTATAAGCAATACTTTAATAACAATTTATCGAAATATAATGGATTGCTGTTAAAATGTTGGTCATAGTAGCGGCGTATGCTGTACTTAAGAGCAGCACGGTTAGTTTATGTGTTGAAATAATTTAACAAAATAAATTGACATCATGGGTTTAAAGTCACCAGAAACATTTTCGAAAATATTTGCCAATGAAATGCTTTTTACTTTTTATGGTTTTACTTACCCTATATTCTGCTTTGTAGCTGTATTGTAGTCAGCAGTACAATATAGAAGCACAAATAATCTGTGTGTTTCTCCCCCAGATGATGAGGAGTAAACCTGATGAAGATGATTACTGGAATAGTTCGAAGTTCAGGGCCTTCACCTTTGATGATGACGATGATGAGTTTTCCACTGTGAGAGTCTTTTTCTGTGACCAGTTGACCTGATGAGTTATCTGCATGTATTAACGTTGAATAAAATTCAGCCTTACCAAATGTCAACTCGCACTTTCAGTTGAAAGAGTCTAAACGAGCAGTGAACAGCATCGTGGTCGACGACGATGACGACGACGATGAAGATGATGTGGAGAAAGTCAGTTGGAGCGGCGAGCCTGTTGGAAGTATGGTTTCTTGAAAAAGGAGATAGACCCGTCCCAGCCTGGGGTTTATATGCGTCGGTCATGTTTGATATTTTGTTGTTTTGCTGGTGGTCTGGCTGTAGGTATCTCCTGGTCTATCAAGGAAACCGCGTCCAGTGTCCACGTGGGTGGGCAGGACCATGGATTTCCCAAGATTGACAGCACACCCTCTTTACCTAGGCAGGGCTCTGGTTACTCGCTCAGCTCTCTCTTCAAAGGTACAAAACTTTCTTTTTGCTGCAGGGCATAATTACCCATTCAGTGTGTATTGTTTGGGCTGTATCACAAGTTGGGCCGCTTAGCACGCTCTTAACTATGAATAGCATCAAGTAGCTTCTGTAATCTGGCAGAGCTGTGAGCCATTCCTCTCATTTCCTCTTGGTTCATTGTTGCCCCTGAGGGGCAAATGGGGAACTGCATGGTGTATAAATTGGCCTCATGGCTGAAGGATCACTCACCGGGCAATAACTGTTGGTTCTTTTGTTTTCCAGGAAGACCCAAAAGTGGTAGCATCCAGGCTATTTCTGAATGTAAGTGTTTCGTTCAAGTTTATAGATTGTGCCGTATAGATTGTTTCAGTACAGCTGTGTTAAAAATGTGTTTGAAAATTGATCGAACGGCACAGCGTTCCCTGACGTTCCCTCGCGAAGTTTTGCACCAGAGCTGCGGAAGCCGAAGGCAGAGTACAAGGTAAGTAAGCCTGTGCTTTTAGTGAATTTAGTCAAGGGCAGAGTACATTTATTTATTCAGCATGTTCATTTGTTCCAAGCGACATATAAGTGAGGCACACAATACATAACAAGCATAGAGTAGCATGACCGTATGCGCGTCACTTGGAAACACCTCCGGCACGATTTAGGCTACAATGTCCTATGAGCACAACTGGAGCAGGTAGCTGGATTAGGACCCTAACATAAAGGATGTGGTTCAATACTAGGATGCTGTGCTAGCTATATTGGTGTGTGGGGTATATGAAGAGTCATCCTGTAGAGAAGCTGAGATGCTGATGTGGTGACATGATACTGTCACTGACAGGACTACAGTGACTGGAGTCCAGAGGAGACTGTCCGGAGGATGCAGCGAGGAAAGGTAGATACTATCTTTTTAAAATCACTAGGCACTACCTACCTTTAACCCATGAGGTTCAATTCATTTTAGTCATCTTATGGTTCTGCACATATGACATTTTCAGAGTACTTTTAAAATTCCACCTGTCACTTGGTCGGCCTTCTATTGTGCACTTGGGTTCCTCACACCTATTTTTCAGCTAAATTTTCCACTTAAGCCAAATATTTCAATACTAAAAATGCTTTTACTTTTGGTGGTCATACCCCCCTCCCTCCTCATGGCTTCCAGTCCTACCACCTTATCCAGTTGCCAGGGAATTACCTGAGGTTCCCACTGCCGGTCATGTGACTTGCACATCTTCCAGTCCCATCCTGTTTACGCCATGCATTCTTCTGTACCGGTTCGTTCTGATGCAGGCCTACTCCTTCGAGACGTTCCGCTCCCTGAAGGACAAGATGCTGCTTTTGGACGAGGCCGTTCATGCGAACGACGGAAATGTCATCACCGCGGTGTGTTGAGTCGGGCAGTTACGATATGACTGGAGCGTCTTTCGGAAATACAGACTGTCTGGCATCTTTGTCACGTTTACTAAAGCCATACACTCTCTTCTCACAGGTCCTCATATTTTTAAAGAAGTCCTTAAGTAAAGGTATGAGGTCTTTCCTGATGATATGTAATATTTGAGTTCCTCTCCTTGCCGCTTTTTCACTGTCGGAGGAGGGAGCAGAACTTGTTTCTGGCTGTGGGTCTGTAAATTTCTTTGGTCCCTTGCCCCCCTGTTCTTTGCTTTTATGGCCATGTTTGTGGGGGTCGACAGAAATTCTCTCAAGGGAGCTGACATCAAGGGAAATAGCCCTCCGGCACTATATTCACTACCTGAAGGAGATGGGAGAGCAGAAGTCACTCGTGGAGCTTCTCAAGTGAGTCAGCGAGCAAATACATGTTCACCTTGTAAACCAAAACAGCATATGGTTGCAGACCATCAAGTTTAGATTTCACCTCATTGATCTGAAATACATCAAGCATGTTAACCATAATGGTGTGTGTGTGCGTATATATATGTGTGAAATAACTCTGTGGCTCCTCAGTTAGCTATGGAAGGCATCCCATAATCCACACCCTTGTCGACATGCTTGTGTTTCCAGGTCATTGGGCCGGACAGAGGACATGGCGGTATGTAGCCACTGAAACCGCACTGCTTAATCGGGCCTCCGGGACCAGCCCAGGTTGACCTCAGCTCTGAATCAAGGATTATTTATTGTGCAGCTTCTCCAGTACAAAGAGCACCTCAACATCAAAGATGAAGTGCGGAAAAAAGAGTACCTGAAGGCCTGCATTGGGTAAGGACTGTGTACGTCTTTTTACTGTTTCTCCATTAAGGAAACTGTGTGTATGTATGTGTAATGCCTGTAAGGCTGTCGACTCTGTTGCAGTCTCCCCTTTTCACCAGAAGATGCCAGCCATGTCCAAGATCACTACACGCTACTTGAGCGTCAAATTATCATAGAGGTGAGACTGCCATCATCCTATTAGTGGAGATTAAGAAATGGAAAGTCAATGTGGTTGCGATGTGGTTTCTGTTTCTGTGATTGTGGTGGGTACAGTTTTACTGGAGGGGGGTTGACTCTGCGGCACTGTGTGAGATGCTCTTACTCTGTCCTTGGGGAAGGCTAACGATAAGCAGGCGGAGAACAAGGTGGAGGTGTTCAAGAAGCACCCCCGGAAAGCTTCCATCCTGAACATGCCCATCATCACCACGCTCTACTACTCTTGCTTTTACCACTATGGGGAGCCAGAGGTAGGAGCTTCGGCCATGTAGGGTCTTTCCTTCATCGTATGTCAGTCTCTGATTGGTCCTCACTCACCCCACCTGCCCTGCATTGTCACAGGGCACGTTCAGCAGCCCCGCAAACATCAGGTCAACTTTTAAGGTAAGAGTGAGTATTTGAAGAGTGTATGTTGTCAAGTTTTCTGGCTGGTTACATAGAGAAGAGAGGTGTCACTGTTTAGCTTCAGTAGGAAACTGAGCATCAGAGGAGGAAAGCTCAGACCAAAAAGTATAGACCAAGATTTTGTTTTAACCGACCAGTTTAATATAAAGAGTCACAGTGACTCATTTGGTTGATTGAAAGAAGATTTGTATTTTCTTGATCTGAATTTTCCACCTCTGCTGAGCACCACTGACTCAGAGAATCCAATGTGGGTGGGATGCTGGCTGTGGACATCCCTGGGGATGATGCAGTGTTTGAGAATCCCATTTGAACAAGAATAAAGGTAAACTGTAGGACTGTCAAATGGCAGTAAGATCCTGAGGTGTAAAGTTCAGGTCCAATCCACAATCCTGTTGTGCAGTGCGTGAGGTGAGTGCCTGTTTCTGTGTGTGCGTGTCTGTGTGTGCGTGTCTGTGTGTGCGTGTCTGTGTGTGCGTGTCTATGTACGCGTGTCTGTGTGCGCGTGTCTGTGTGCGCGTGTCTGTGTGCGCGTGTCTGTGTGCGCGTGTCTGTGTGCGCGTGTCTGTGTGTGCGTGTCTGTGTGTGCGTGTCTGTGTGCGCGTGTCTGTGTGCATGCAAGCATCAGTTATCTTGTGGTGTGTTTCAAAGCTTTAGGTTCAATATGAGTAACTGTTTTTTGGAAGTCACTGAATCACTTTTCAGCAGTTTTTTCTTCTGAGTCATTATTAATTATACATCTGCACGACACCCCCCTCCCCCAACACCACCTCTACAGATTTCAGAAAAGCAATACTTCCTCACAGTTCTGGGCGCACGTGCAAAACTGAAGGAGTGGTTTGATGTAGACAGGCTTTTCACTGCCAAGAATTGGTTTGGCTACACTAAGAAGAAGTCCCCCATTGGGTTCCACAGAGTAGTGGACATTCTGCAGAAGAACAATGCACCAGTCCAGGTAAAGTCTCCTTAATGTATGGGGATTGTTCCTTTTTCATGTTAAACACTAGGGGGAGCTCAAAAAACTTTTTTTTTTCCTGCAGCCAGCCTATCAATATCACAGTGCACTTTGTGGTGCTTTGATTTTTTTTTTATTTACTGTGACTGTGTGGATCTAGCTTTCCTATCTCACAATGGCTTTTGTGTGGACGTGTAACCTCTTTTGCAGGTCCTGCAGGAGTATGTGTCCTTGGTGGAGGATACAGAGCAGAAGATCAGCCTGGCTCAGAAATACAAATGTCATGACATTGTCATTGATGTGAGCTTGCCCTTTGACCAAATAAACCATTTTCACTTTTTTGTATTACATAAACCACAAGATGTGATTCCATTTGCCAGTTGATGCGTTGTGTTCAGTGGTGCTTTGAACCTCTTAGTCAATGTGACCTGTTGTTTCCACCTTCCTTCAGACTTACAAAGACCTGAAGGACCGTCAGCAGCTGATCATATACCAGGGAAAGGTGGAGAGGAACTCGCCTGAGGATAGGAAGATTCAGGATCTCCTTAACAACACGGTAAGGGAGCGACAGAGGTTACGTAAGTGGCTTCCTTTGACGCCTGGCCTGGCCTGCTCAGGGACTAATCCATGTGGATCTATTGAGAGTGGCCTGTTTGCTCTTTCTATCCTCCACTCAGAGGATCGCAGAGTCCATGTTTATCGCAGGTGTTTAATCTGGAAGTCCTGGAACTACAAAAGTAGAACAGTAAAACGTCTTTGCATTTCACCAAATATACAAGCTATTTCTCAGGATGGGGCATTTGCAGGAATTGTTTGCTTGATTGGATTATAGGGTAATGCTTTACATAAACTGGACATTCATAATGCCTTTATAATGCATTTGTAGAACATTCAGTGCTCCTTCATAATGCATTCATAGAGCATTGTTGTTTGTTATTAATGAATGCATTGTGAAGGTGCAGTTAATGGTGTGACACTCAGTTACCGGTTATAGCAGGGCTGCCAACTCTCACGCATCTGGTGTGACACTCACGCCTTGAGACTGTCACGCTCACGCAAAATTCTGTTATAAACCTAAAATTAGCTACATGAAAAGCATTGGGGTAGTTTGCGAACCCCACAGACTATTTACAAGGTTACATACATGGGCTATTCCACTGAATCGGTGCCATTTCTGCCCCCAGGACATTATATGTATAAATATGCATGAAAAGTAGCTTTATAATACATGTTTTTTATCAAAGTGTCCTCATTGCAAATTTAAGATACATAATAGGGCTGGGCGATATCATATCGATATTGCATCACGCATGTGCAATAATCACCAGGGCTTCAGATGACAGGTGCAACGTTTGGCCAAGCGCCAGCTTTTCAGTGAAATACGGACATTTATTTACACCCACAATTTAAACAGTTTAATAGCATGGCTAAAATATTAATGAGGCTTTGTCTGATGTCCAAAAGTCATTATTGGTATAAATACGGCATATCATTATGCTTAATAAATGTGTCAGACTTTGAACTGCAAAAAGTACCACCACACCGGCGATATCTTTTTACGTTGTTTATCCACAAGATCTCCTCTTTTAAAAGATGTCCTGTCTGCTCTTCTTCACTGCGACTTCAGTGCATATTACCAAACCGTACCAAACCGTAGTATACCAAACCGTAGTATAGCAAAACAGTATTATGTGGGGTGCTCCACTAATCAAATTTAAGAAACATAAAGTTTATACAGATTACTAACTTTTGGGGATCACAAAACGCATCTTATTAATATTTAAGCCACACTACTAATCCTCTTACCTAATTATGGCCGTAAATTAATGTCCGTATAGCACTGAAAAGCTGGTGTCCGGCCAAATGCTTCGTCTGTCATCTGAAGTCCTGGTGATATAATATCGATATGATATCGCCCAGCCCTAATATATAATGTAAAACATTGATTAAACCTTCCTATAACACTGAAAAAATAGTTTGTCACCTGTGCCTGTTCACTAATTCTACACTTCACCATGATATATAATGATTAAAAACCTTCAAAATCTTATTTTGTATTATTGTGACAGTATTTCCCATTTATATTTCAAATACAGTTTCTGTATAGTACATCAGTAATATGCTAAAATACACATTTTAGTCGTGTCCCAAGGTTTTCACTTGGTCCTGTAGGTCTTCATACATTTCAGCCCCTAAAAAATTTGACATATTCCACAAATGGCTTGTTCAGCCGGAACTTGCTTTAAGACCACAGAAAAATCAAAAGTAAGTTCTCCCACTTTCCTGTATTTTTGATGATATTGTAAGTATGTCTCAGGCAGTCAAACTCAATGCGCAGTCTTGTTACCTACATTATTTATTAGATTTCATTTACTTGTTTGTTTATCTATCTATCTGTTTATTTATTAGATTTTTGGTAAGTTACTTGAATGTGCTCAATGTTATCATACTATTAGGTTTGACTGTGGTTCGTGAATTTGTTAATTTTACGATAAAATTCAGTCATGTTACCCATAAAGAGAAAAGTACATCTTGGACGCATATATATAGTGATTTTTTTAACCAGAAATATATATTTTTGAACATGTAACCAATCCTTTAAAATACACATTTTATTGAGGGGAACACAAAAGAACTAGTTGATATTATATAAACAGCTGTTGAGGTTTTGGTAACAGTTTTGAGATAAAATGCAACCATCTTCCATTCATAGACCTTGAAAAAAATTAAATGTAGTTACCAGTGCACATTCTGAGTAGTTAAATATGTGTGTTATTAGATTCAATATTGAAAAAGATGAAAACATGCAATGTAGTCCCATGCGAATGGGACCGATTACATAGAATCACCCACATGTAAATGCATATGCGTGTGTGTGCAGACTTGTCTCAAATTGAAAATTTCACTCCAGCCAGCTGACCAATATTGGCAACCCAGTTATAGTTACAGAATTATCGGTTTGACAAAATGAGGACTGTACATAAACGAGATGTTCGTGACATATGAAGGTGAAGAGGAGGCAGATCCAAGACCTGCTGCAGTCAGCCCAAAAAATCAACCCTGTTAATCAAATAGATTGTAATTGAAACGTGTGCTTCCTGTTATGAAACGGAAAGTTCATTTTTGCTGTAGTGCAACTTTCATGCAACATTTTTTCTGTTCCGTGTTTCTGTGATCTATTTCGTCCCCAAGTTAGGTGTCTGATAACATTTGTGAGTCTGTTCTCTGCCATGGACCAGCTTCCCATCCAGGTTGCCTCTAAGTCGTGGCACAGCCTTCCGGTTCAGCAGTTATGGAAGATAGATAGATGTTATCATGCACATAGTCAGGTAGTAAAATAATAGGTTTGTGCCCTCCTGAAATTAGGGCGGTTGTCCACTGCACCAGGCACTCTTAAAAAGTACCAAACATATGGTACTTCAAGGTGTTGGTATTCCACTAGTGTAAAAACTGTTACCGCCGCTGAATGATGCAACGGATGGTATCTTGTACTGTTTTGAAAAATGGGTAAATTAGACCCCGGCGACATTAAAACCAGCATCGAATGCTTACACACATGCGATTATCACATCACAAAGTCCAAGATAGTCAACTGGGTTGAGATCAGGCTTTTTCTTCATATTGTCTGGACATTATTGTGTGGGGGGTTTAAGTTTCACTAAAACATTTTTAGTTTGTCACAAGAAACAAAACTTAGCAAGCACTGCAATTTAATGATTGTTCCTTTTCAGGATTATCTTGTATATGTTTTAAAAATCATTATTCATTACTATTCATTATTTTCATTTATGTTTAAATCACTCAGATGGGTTTGTGAGAAATTAATTTTTTAGTCCTTTTTTGCTTTCTAAATATCCCAGTATTTATTACAACAAAATCACATTGTGATATTTAAATATTTTCCAATATTGTGTAGCCCTAGTATATTATAGCGCAGACCGCGGCTGTGATCCGTCAGATCAATGGCTGGACCCAAGATTTATTTCTGGCTTCAGTACTGGATGGAATTTGTGTAACCTGTGGCCTGAGTTGCGTGTGTCTGAATCTCCTGAGTGGTTTCATTTGTTTTTCAGCAAATTCGGTGGAAGAACTGATCAGCTGAGTCAAGGTGCCCCTCAGGACAGCGCCAGTAACTCTGCCCTAATGCGTCCCCGAGGGCAGCTTGCTGCTCAGCCCACCTGAAGCTTCCTTCTGAAGCTTTCTTTTGAGCAACTTCTTTTTTGTTTATTTTGGAGACGGACCTACTGCGTGAATAAGACTGAAAGAGTGTCACTCGGACTGAACGACCCTGAACATTCAGGTGATTTTTCTGTACATTGAATCTCCACAGAGGACCTGTTTTTTTTTTTTTTAACGGAGTGGCACCTTGCAGAAAACGACAGAAAAATGTGTATTGGAATGAGAAAATGAATATACCGGTGCTAAAGTGTTATGAGTATTTTCTGTGACATTTTATTTCTGTGAACATTCCACTACAAACCAATGCTTATTCTTTTGATTGAACAAGAATCCAAACACAGGTTATTTAAAAAATGGTTTGGTTCAGTCAGATTAAAGTTTCCATGAGATGGGATTTCCCCTCGATGTTTTCTGCTTTTTTTCCAGATGCTTGCCCATGTAATTTATAAATAAGACAAGTTCACTTGGTTAAATAACCTTTAGGCTTGTTTGCAATTCAGACGCAGTGCAGAGCCTCTCAGAGAATGTTTCCCAGAGGTTATTTTAAACCGTGTGTCACCCGTACTGTTCAACCAGAGTTGTCAGACACGGATGCCATCAAGCTCAGATTTACTACCCACCTGAGTGGGATTATTGTCTGTTCTACACGTGAACGTGCATCATGGTGTGAAGACAAAGATGTGGAAGGCTGCCGGATCATCTGTGAAGGCCTTGTGAGGATGAGCAGAGGGTGAGGTGCCGTGCTATAGTAGGGGGTCGCACTTGTGGGAAAGGAGAAGCGAAGCAGCGAAAAACATAAACTGGTATAAATCTCTGGTATGTTCCAGGGGGTTTCCTGTATGCGGGACAGGAAGGAGGTGGCACCTGCTTTTTCACTTCACTATTGTCCCTGAACTCAGCTGACATGTCATGTTCTCCTGTGAGCAGCCGACCCTGACCTCTAAGTTACAGTAACGGGTCACTTCCTCGCCTTACCAGTTTAACAGCAGGTCTTCTTTACTGGGACCTTTACTTAAGAGATGGCGGTGGCTTCCTAAGCATCGCATGTTTTTCCACCAAATCTGTGAAATTAAACTTGCACAAGTGCAATTTGAGGACGTGCTTCACGTGGGTTTTGTCATGGTAGCAGGCTGAATTGAACATATTAGCTTCGTCGGAAGCGGCATTTAAACTAGCAAACAACATTTAAACTTTCCCTGTGCTTTTAATCCAGAAATGTCAGGCAAATATCTTTTGGTAACAGGTAGCACCTCATTAATATTATCTAATGGAAGACATGCATAATGGATGTTTAAACCTTCTGGCAAGAAACAGGAATTAATGTTAAGGTATTATGCAAACGGCGTCACAGTTCACAAAACACTGCAACAGAAATTCAAATGAAATCTGACTATTTGTCAGTGTGCGGCTAATATACAATATGCCAATAGGCATGTACTACGCATTTTTTAACCCTGGCTATATGGTTTTTGTCTATCCCATCTAGATAATGTGAATGAATGCTTAATGAGATACGGATGTAATATAGATATGGTACACTGCCTGGCCAAAAAAAAAGTCACCGCTTGAATTTAAATCAGCAGGTACTTAAAAGCCAATGATAGGATCTTTATTAAAGCTTATAGCAACGTCATGTAGCAATAAGGTGACGTCAGCTGAATACCTGAATATACTGAATGGCCAGGTTAGCCCATCGATGGATTTTTCCTTACCTAAAGGCATGGACATATTACGGGATCATAATGCCAAGATTCATAGGGCTCGAACTGTCAAAGATTGGTTTAGGGAACAAGCAATCATTTTCGCAAGTGAATTGGGCAGCGCAGTTTTGACCTAAACCCCACTGAAAGTCTTTGAGATGTGCTGAAGAAGACTTTACGGAGTGGTTCAACTCACTTATCATCAATGCAAGATCTTGACGAGAAATTAATGCGAATCTGGGTGGGGGAAAAAATGTTGAGATGCTGCATAAGCACATGGAAACAATGCATTAACGAATGTGCGCAACAGAGTTAAAGGCGGCCCAACAAAATATTAAACTCTGTGACTTTTTTCTTGGCCAGACAGTGTATAAGGGCACCTTCCACATACACAGCAGAAACATTCTACGTGAAGACTCAGGGTTTTAAAATAGTACAGTAATCGAACAAGAGAGCAGTAGCGCGACTGTCAATCAAATCACTGTAATAATATCGTTAAAGTCAGAAGCTCCTCCTTCGCAGCCAGGACAGCCAGTGCGGGGACAAGGAGCTCCCCGCCCCCGCCAAATATGATCGTCACCCTCTCCACCCAGAGAGTAACGCCTATGCATGTACTCTTACGGTATGGATTATTTTTCTTAATATTATCTTGGTCTAAATCGTATTATACCGATCGTTATTAAACTTTAGATCTGTTTGTAGAATTCGTCACTTGATGCGCAGCCACATTTACGACACAGATGCGACGTACCAGGTACCAATTGGCGAGGGACGACAGTTTTAAACAGAATATATCATATATGTGGTTAATATTTATTAAGGCTAATTATATTGTAATATTGTGTTTGGATGCAGATGTTTTAGGTAGACCTACTTTTAATAGAAGTGTAATGTCAGGAATTATGTAGGCTATTGGAAGAAGCTTTCTTCTAATACTATATATTAGAAGAGCAATGGTGTAAGTACTGAAGTTATCCCAGGGACAAACCGAGCCAGTTAACGCTTATGCTGATAGCAAAAATCCACACGCTGCTTAATTATTAATTATTGTAATATGCGAGCATAAAATTAATATTTAATATTTTATGATGGACCCTTTGTAATTGACTTCACTTTCGTAATGGACAAACTCATCGAACACATGCTGACACGTGAATTAAAATTCTTCGACAAAGATATATAGCCTGTTTTATAGGATACTTCGCTATTTGCATTATTTTTGTTGCCGAAATGCCGTTATATCTACGCGTTTTCGATTCCGCGTCTCAGGTTATTGTATTTTGGATTATCTAATACTCAAAAATTTTATTTATAATCAAACTACACGTACTGGAAAGTTTTAGCTTGCGTTTAAGGAGAAAAAAACTTAATGGGCAAGAACAAATACGGGGTTTTACGTAATTCTGCATTTGGTCCGTGGTAGAAATGACCCATTCGAAACGAGGAACTAGACAGATGTGGTTGCGCCCAGTGCCGAAGATGGGACACACGTTGAACCTAGCGTGCAAAACTGGAGAAAACGGCAGAAATTATGTGGGTCGAAAAAAATAAAGAGGTCACGTCGCTTTCTATTCCGTTAGAAGGCGCCTGTAGCAGGAAGCGACTCTTCTAAACTCTCTCTAGCGCGCAATCCTCCAGTTCTTTTATTATTATTAAATTGGATCAACAGGACAGGTTCATATTTCTTCTCTGCTGTTTGCCATATTTCTTGCGATCGTGGTAGAATTTATGTATTAATTAAAAGTAAAAGTGAGAATACCTTTTATTTCAGAGGAAGCCCATAAGCGTACATCGTTCTATAGCTTAGAATTAACAAGCAAGTGCAAATGCGTTGATTCTGGTATGTCGCCCTCTATTAAATGGGTCAACTCCTCCATACATGACATAACTAATAACTGGGCTTTCCATGTAACCTCTGAGTAACATTTCAGACGTTCCTGGAGGGGATTTCGACTCTAACAAAACACCCTGACATTGGAAACTGGGGGTAATTTGAACTACTGACTAAAACTGGAGAACATGTTTTGAATGAAATATACTTAAAAGTGAGGGTCATAAATCGTTTGGGCCCAAGGCGATTCGATTACAGTGCATCTGCAATCTTCGGAGGTCCAGAGAGGACATTTATTGTTTCTTCCCGTTATCTCGAGATCGCGACTTATATCTTATCTAGTCATCTAGTGACCAGTGATCATTACCCAGCAGTCTGTAATTATGTCCTGCCGGTAACATTTCAAAAGTTAGAATTTTTTAACGGCTCAACGTTATCTCATTGTAATGTTCTCTTTTATTGGAAAATTAATTGTGTGCTATGATTTATTTGTTTAGTTTTTCTCAAGTGACGAACACGAATATGATCATTGTCAAGCTCTGATAGGCCAATTTCCAAGGGCATCACTGTTTTTTTTTCATTATGGGGGGGACAGGGACAGATCCATTAAATTACTGAGTTAAATCCATCCTCTCATATTATCCTGTATGACCTCGTATGTATATACCTATGTGTAAACCACCCATCTATTTCAATATTAACTGTATACATTTGTTTATGCGTATGCAACTGAAATCGTTGGCTAAAAGTTTTCTTCCCCGTTTCTCAGTAGGTTAGGAAACAACCAAATTCTCCTGACAAGTTTATTCATATTTCTAAAATCAAAAGTCCTGGAAAATCTTGGGTGGGACAAACACCACTGTTTTAAATATCGGGTGGGGTGTGTTCCCCCTGTCCCCTATGAGTAACGCCTGCTTCTGACATTTCATGATCAAAGTAAAATCAAATGTCTGTCCATGATGATGATTTGTAGCCAACTAAGCTGCTGAACCTTTCACGATATCACAGCGAAAATTAGTCGTGATCTTGACATAAGATAACGAGATAGTTTTCTTGTGAGCTTGAGAAAAAAAAAAACTTTATCTCAAGACCACAAGAAAGATCAGATTATGACGATGCGTGTCCACTCTGGACTTTCCTAGTTCTTGGCTTCCATAGAACTGTACAGAAAACAATAAATACCTAAAGAGAGCACCAGCTGATTGGCCACTTTCATTTAGGCAAACTAGTGGTGGGGACATCGTACTGTATGGGCACTTCAAATGATATTTTGGGTATTTTTTGCTTGCATATATTTAATAAGATATCAGCATTTTACTTCCAAAAGGCTTTTGTCTATTTTTGCCTTTTTGTTTATCACCTGCTAGCCATGATACTCCCTTCTAACAAATTTGTGAGCTCACTGAAATTACAGTAATGACTGATTTAAAATTGATATTGTCTTATTGCATTTTTCTCTGTGTCACGCTGCTCCTTGCAGGATTATTACGCTGGATAATTCTACCATACAGTTGGTATCATACCATACCTTCCCTGCTACCAGAAATTATGGAATCTTCACCCTAGTGTGGTTTAATCTGATTGGATTTTCTTATTTTTAATATGGGTGATAAACATGAAACATTACGTTTTAAATGTCTGTAGAGTTCGCATAGCAACACATTTACACGATCTTAGATGGGATGTGAAAAATACAATGTGGTTGAAAATTAGAGGTCTGTGGGCATCCAGATATTTCCTGTCAACACTGTGCACCTCTGCTCTCAGAAAATATCTGTAACCACTGCTGAAAGGTCGCATACATTTGTTGGGCTGCAGCGCTGTGTTTGGCTGCGTGTGCATGGACCGTTGAATGTATGCTGGTGATTTTTTTTGTTTTGGGTCAGCAAGGAAAGGTTTAGTGAGAGAATCACAAATCCCATGACCTTTGTTTACAGGCCAGGAAAGAAGGAAAATCTAGAACATATCGGTAGTGAGGAGCTTTAAATAGCTGTGGGAAGACAGTCGGGCGTATTTAGTCATGGGCGACAGATAAGAGTCTGTCTTTGACTCAGTCCCACCACCAACAATTTAGGGAATCCGAGTGAAAAAAACTATGACAACCTCCTTGGGACATTAGATGGTCATTCTGCTAACCTAAGCATGCCGGGTTCAGACATGTTCTCTTTGGGCCTGAAGTGAAGCTGCAGATGTGAACTAGATAGAAATTTTATGGCAAAATTTGGTTTGTGTTGCGGGAAATTGATTCCAGAAACAGCGGTGGCTGGGCAACATGCTGGGCATTGGGTCACCTGACTGTGACTCGCCATCCGATCTGTTTCGTCTCTGGAAAAAAATGTTAGCAAACCAGAAGCACTTTGGAACATTATATCCAAAGATCAGATGCACCATGTCTCATAGCTCAGACTGATCATAATGTTTGATGGGGTTCTCGGTTACAAGATCACCAGCCAGTATGTGGCTTGTGAATTTTACGTGGGAATGGTAGCATAGGTGTAAATGTCTGTGGCTGCTATTGGCTGTTAGGGTAGAAGATAATTGCAGGAGTATCCGGACAGACCCACAGAAGCACGATGCCTTAAAATAAAATTGCTTCTCCTAATGACCTCTTGCTTACTCATCTTTGTGTGAATTTCCCTCACTCTCATTTCTGTTTTCATGGACAACGTCTTGCAGACACCATGCTTGAGATGACCGTGATATCTTCGAATCAGACATGGGCCAACTGTACGCTGCCATACCGGGTGGACAAGATCCCGCTGATTCTACTGTACAGCATGGTGCTGATCATTGGGCTTCCTGCAAACATGGCCACCGTCTACATGACTTTCCTGCAGGTCCGACGCAAGAACGTGCTGGGCATTTATCTTCTGAGCCTATCGCTGTGCGACCTCATGTATCTGTGCACCCTGCCCATGTGGGCCGTGTACGTGGGCAGGGAGCACAAATGGCCCTGGACCTCGTTTGCCTGCAAATTAACTAGCTACATTTTCTTCAACAACATGTACATCAGCATCTTCCTGCTCTGCTGCGTGTCCGTCGACCGCTACGTGACGGTGGCCTACGGTTTGGAATCCCGCGGCCTGCGCCAGCAGAAGCTGGCTGGCGCCATCACCTCATCAATCTGCTTGCTGGTGGCACTTGGCCACTTGCCCGTCTTCACCATGGCAGAGGGCGAAACAGACCAGCAACAGTCCTGCTTCGAGCCCAGTCAACCCAGCTTCATCGTGACTGGCTTTAACTACGCCCGTTTCGTCATCGGCTTCCTCCTCCCAATGGCTATCCTGGTGGTCACGAATTGCCGCATCTCCACCAGCATCCAGGCCAGTGAAACTCTCCTGGCCAGGCAGAAGTATAAGATCAAGTGCTTGACAATGGTGGTCATTATCTTCTTCTTGGTCTGCTTCGGGCCTTATCACCTTATCCTTCTGCTGCGTGCTGTTACCTTCCACATCCCCCAGTTACGGAATGACTGTGACTTCGAGATACGGGTCTACACGCCTTACACCATCTCCCTGGGGCTATCTACTGTCAACAGTGCCATGAACCCCATCCTCTACGTTCTGGCCAGCGACAACATCCGAAAGGAGATGCGGCACGGCCTGGCGGCACTGATCCGCCGGTCTATCCAACGTCACCAGACTGACAGCAGCCAGAACAAGATGCAGTCGTCGGAGGCAACTCAGGGCCGGGAAAACCCCAGCAGCTGAGGAGGGAAGGCAAATTGAAACAGTCGCTTTTTTCCAGTGGCAATGACAACCGCTCTGCTGTACCTGGCAGTGCTGTACCACTGCTGCCGACTAGTGGGAAAAATATGGAGTATTTATAAGGTTATGAACTATCTTGAAGGACTAATAAATGCAGTGTGTGGCTCAGTGGGCTATGGCTTTTAGCACCAGCCTCAGCACACATGTGGGTCCTTGAGCAAGGCCCTCATCCCCCAGCTTCCTGGTTGCCCCAGTGATTGGCTGCCCTTCTTGGCCAGCTTACTCTGACCTACAGAGAGCAAGTTGGGGGAGGTGTAAAGACAATCTCCCCGTGGGAATCGATATTACTATTTTTTAATGCGCTTATTGCATAATGCTAAATGTGACAAGTAGTATTCAAGATTTTTATTGGAATGTTGTTAAACTCTTTTAAAAGAGTGAGCCCACAGGGCAACATCGCTATTTAAGTCTGCGTTATGTGAATGGCTTGGCACCCAGGCACTCACAGATGCAACACGCCAGGTTTGGCTCCAGGTGTAGGTTATGGTAACTCTATTCCAGGCATGATACTCCTGTTTTTTTAGTACCTTTTTTTGGAGGGGGGGATAATTAGACCGTGTTTTCTCTGGCTGAAGCATTACACAGCATTGGTCTTTGGATTGCTAAGGTCGCACTCCTCAAGCACGATCCACAGCTGACTTGGCGACGTCTGGAGAAGGGGTGTGTGGGCAGACTTAGTATGATGCCAGCAGAACCTTAACCAGGAGAAATGGTGTGGTCATGAATTGTGGCAACGAGATATTACCGCACATGGTACTGAATTTCCTGCACTTTCATGCTGTCATCATTCTGTGGTCATAGTCGTCAAAACTTTATCCTATTATCATCATTTAAAATATTTGCATTATTTTTTGAATAGTACTGAAAAAACAAAATGGTTTCAAGTGTATTTTTTTTTTACATGTGAATATAAACTGTGATGCATAACTTGTCATTTCATCTGCTGGTTTTATTGGTTTTATACGAGTATAATCGGTAATTCCTGTCTGACCAGTTAAGCAGTTCAAAAGCTTCTGCGGCAATCTCTACAAGACGAATTATGCTTGAGGTTGTGGTTAGAATTTCTGCCAGCATAAATTCAACTTTTAAAGCATTACTTGTTCATAAGCTATTATGAAGACACCCCACAACTGCTGTAATAAAATCTGATAATGCTTTAAAAACACAAATGCTTCCTGTATTTTAGCATAAATGCAAATCATTTGTGTATTAAGTGTATTCCAGTGTATTCCTGGATTTGCAGACGGTTCAACCACATGATGCTGTTAGTGCCTTAGATTTTTATGAACAAAACAACAGTGAACCTCCTCTCAGTGAACTGAGTTGGTGCAAGTATACTGTTCATAAACAACATTGCATTGTCGTCCCTTTAATGTTAAAAGTCAAAGGGTGTTTTAAATGTCACAGAAAAGTCATCTTATCCCGTAATTTCTCTGTCTGGTGCGCCTGGGAGGAGGCAGTGATTGGGGTTAGTCACTATGTACAGTAACGCGGCCTGTTCTGTCTTGGTTTGCAGTCTGTGCAGAGCTTTAACGTGCAAACAACTGGCTAAAAACCAATACAGAACACTGAGAATATCGTTTTGAATGTAACAACTGGAATAGGTGTTAACGGCTCTTAAATGTACCTGCGGTTGCTTTTTGTGAATATTTCTGGTTAGCGATTTGCAACTGATGTTTATGGGTCTGTACTGAGGCTCGTCACGCGAGCAGAAAAATCTGCTCGCGTGACGCACTGGGTAAGAAAACATGGTGTGATGTGAAACAGCAGTGCCGTTTTAGAAATTGAAGGTAATGACATTTCTACCTCCGTAGGGAAAGGGTGGAAGAGCTTCTTGGATGACAGGCTGTGCAGGTGTACTGGTTAAGGTCTATAAGCAGAGCCTTAGCTGGAGGCACTCCAGTAAAATTTGGACCTACAACTGGTGTGGAATCCAGAACACTTCCACATAAAGTCCACGTGGCCCGTACATGCCTACGAGTACCCTACATCACCGAATCTATAGCTAGTCTAGAGGGAGAACTACATGCGTGCGACAACTCGGGGGATGCAAAAAAATAAACTTGACAATCTTACGAAACTGAGACTCGTTTTGTGTCGGGCCCCAGTCCTATGTGTCTACTGCTGACAGAGGAAAGGAAACAAACACAACAGGAAACAGGAGTGGTTGTTCTCTCACGTTCCTTCTTCGAATAAAAAATTCTGTTTACACAGGACATATGGGACATGCTGAGGACATCAACTCCACGTCCACAAGGAGTCTCTGTACAGCTACCTGCATATATGAGGGCACACCTTGGTTCTCCTCTTGCGGTCTGCTCCGGTAGCACAGTTGCTACAGACTCTTGCTGGTTAAACAAATTCTACCGCACTGTAGGAGCTGGAGTGGGTGCTGTTGATGGGAAGTGTAGTGTCCCTCTGGCAGAATCATGAATTTACAAAAGAAGGGCACGTTTACAGCGCAGTTCACTCCTAAACCTTAGCGGACGTGCCGCAGACTTTCAGAGAGAAAAAAACAAAACCGCCATTCTCAGTCACTTTGACTGTTCTACGGGGTGTATTCTGCCACATGCCTAAACCTCATGACAACATGGCGGTTTTTTCATGAGCGTGGGCACCATGAAAGTATATCATACTGAGCCCCCAAACCAGAACAATCTAATTATGTTCCAATTTTTTTAAGGCCCCGTCACTTAGGGGCCCTTGGAAGTCTGCCTCCCCCTTGCCTTACTGTGTCTCTGTGTATAACTACCTACATTTTTGGCTGATGCTGCAGATCTGACTGCTGCAGGCATCGTATAAAGCTGTAGTGTTATGTTACCCTTAAAATTAGTATTACAATTCGTTTTCACTCATGAACTGGGCTTCCCTTTCACACATGTGACACACAACTGGAGATTATCCATGTCAAATGAGTCGATGCCTACTGGAAATACTCTGGTCGGTTTAGACGACGGGTGGCGTTTGGGTAGGGCCTGCAGGGGGCAGGGCATGACTCATAAAAGGATGCTGCGGAAATGGCTGTATTCTGGTAACAGCACATCAAAGACATCAGGCCTATATATATTTGGACATATCAGGAGCTAGTAGGGTAAAGTTTAATGTTCGGTACAACTGATTCGGACACTTACGTTCACACATGCCCCGGGGAATGTGTAGAAAAGCTTAGCATGATTGTGCATGTATGGCAGGGGCTAGTGATTCAAGGTTGACACCTCCTGCTGCGACCACGATGGCTTCCTGCTCAAACTGCTGCAACCCCAAAGGCAAACTGCTGCTTTCTTCAAACGCTACGCCGTCGAGCTGCTCCCACCACCCCCCGGCTGCCTAAGCAGAATGTCAGGGCTCACAGTATGGCTGTCTAAGTCCAGGGCTCACACTACGGCTGTCTAAGTCCAGGTCTCACAGTACGGCTGTCTAAGTCCAGGGCTCACAGTACGGCTGTCTAAGTCCAGGGCTCACAGTACGGCTGTCTAAGTCCAGGTCCATGCTCTGGCTGCCTGTGACCACAAAAGGGAACAAAGCAGCCAACACTGTCCTCTACTCAGCCAGATAAGCTTCGCCGGAAGTCACAGAACCTGTTGGCGTAGACCTGTGAATTAGACGTTTGTCTGCACTCTGACAGGTTGTATATATTGTTAAGATAAAACCAAAAAGCTACTGAGCAGCAATGTGTTTAAAACTAAAAGTCTGCTGCCAAACAACTCCAGGGACCTTGTAGCACACACTGCTACTATAGTAGTGCCACTGTACAGCTGATGCAGAGAGAAATGTTTGGAGAAACTTACTAGTAGTGGTAACTTGAATTATTAAACTTTGTCACTTCCTTTGTCCTTCATTCACAAAATACACAAATGGGTACCTATTACACTGAGCCCAATGCCCACATGTGTTTACATGAATAAACACACCAAATCCACACATATAACTTAACACAGCTAACAGAATTTAATAGTTAACAGTTTTTAATCCCCGTTCATGCGTGTAAAGCGCTTTGAGACGATGTAATGTTGTGATAATGCGCTATACAAAAATAAATTTGTTTGTTTGTTTGTTGTTCACCAACACTCCAATAGTGAACACATGTGAACAGGTAATTGACCTTTTACCCCACCCATGTGACATGTCATGTGACCCAGAAATATGGCTTCTGCAGACCTCCTGTCATTAAGTTACACTCTCCAACACCTCCACTAACTTGCCTAGCAAGCCAGTGGAAATCCTCGCCCAGAGCGGTGAGTGCCTTTTCTTAGACACAAGCCAGTGACATTGCTCACCAATGATATTGTTTGTGGCTCATTCGTTAGCATGAGCGTGAGCAATATAAGTCTGTGGAATTTGTCCAAATAAGGAACAGGAGATGATGACAGCAGACATGTGCATTAGTCAATATACTGTATGATCCCATAAGGAGATGGTTGGTTATAATGATGTAAGACAATGAGGAGAACTCAGACAACTGGGAGACTAAGTGACTCAACAGTAAAAACCTGTGAGATTCGCCACTGAGTGACTGATGAAAGTGACAGATGTGGACAGCTGACAAGATGGCTCTCTGCCAGGAAAATGAATAATTACCTCTGGCCAGAATGATACATTATATAACCGAGGTCTGATAAATCACTGAGCCGATGGCACTTGGACATGAGCCAGGATCTTGGTTCTCACACCAGCTTGTTCAGGCCATGGGTAGCAGCAGAGTGGAGGGGGGAGGGCATTCGCCCTCGGGTCCATCACAGCATGGGGGTGCACTGCAAAATTTACCAAGGGGGACCCATCTAGGTGAGAGGGTTTACCAAGTGCCTGGTAAAGGTTTACCAAGTCACAACAAATGATTACATAAAATTTGTGTCACCCACCCCCCAGTTGAGAGACCCCTCCTCCACCCCAGTGACCACAGTGGAAAGAGAGAAGCCTGAAGACATCAGGCTGTCTGTGTGTCTCTTTATAACTGCAGCAATTCATCGCCTCAGCAAGTAGGATCAAGTAAAACCGAGCTCCTCAATGGCTCTTCCTAGTGGCAGCTTGGGTGGGGCGCTGTCACGATGGTTTGGGTAACAGGACAATGAGGGAATAGACAAATATCCATATGTCCTGGCTCGTTAAGACTGTGTAAATTATGCTGTACTAGACTTGCATCTCCGGGAATGACTGTCATGCTATTTACCAGGCGGCAGTGCAAGACATGGGTTTTCTGACCAGGCTTTTAAGGTGGACACGCCAATTTTGTAACATAATGCAGTGAGGAGAGGAGGACTGCATGTATATTTCTTCCTGTGTCTCCTGCAGTCTGACACTGCTGCTGCTATCTTGATATGTGTGAATAATTAATACACAAACAAGCCCCACCATCAACACCCTGAGCCTAGAACACATCAGCTTGTTCCTTATCTAGAGGCAGTTGCTGTGTAGTCATGCATCTGTCAAAAAAAATATTTATTTCCAATAGGATAATTTCCAAAACCATACATAGTATAATCATTTGAAGATGCCTCAGGAGTCGCTAGAAAAAGTTTGAACCACGCTTGTTACAGTAGATAAGATTGCCACCTCAAAGGCGAGCACAACAACATTTGTTCTTTGATTGGGACACCATAGGACATTTTTTTCAGTCTGACACTTGGAGTAAGCCCTGTGTGAATGAGGACTCCACTGTATATGACAGGGATGGTGATGACCATGGGTTACGTCATAAACCGCCTGAATCAAGGTTTCAGTCTTGCGATTTTTCGGACTGTTGTAGCCAGGGGTGGATTAATGCACCGGCATCTCAGGCTATAGCTTAGGCGTAATGTACAGCACAGAAGAAAGGGTGACCAGAGCCTATCCTGGGAACAATGGGTGCAGGTGGGAAGCAACCAACACACTACAGGGTGTGCATACAGGGCCAATGTAGACTCACCAATCAACCTGCTCTGCATGCTTTTGGTCCTTGGGAGGAAACCAGAACCCCCAGTGGAAACCCACATGAACAGCATGCAAACTCCACACAGAGAGGCCCCGGGACCAAACCCAGGCCCTTTTTGCTGAGAGTCAGCAGCACTGACCACTGCACCACCATACCGCCCTTATTTTAAGGCCAAAAGAGTGTTTTTGCTGGTGCAAGCCGTTAGTAAAGTTGGCCCCTAGTTTCTTTCACCATCTTTACAGGTCTGTGCTGAATGG